TCTTTCTTTTATTTAGAATGAATTTTGATTGATTTTGATATCATACCTTTTTTTCTTTTGTCTGTAATTATTTTTCTTGTGTGGTTTGTGTGGTTTTTGTTTATACCTGCTGAAAATGATAAAGGCTAGTGTGATGTGGTCTTGGAGTAGAATAAATAGATACATACTGGAAATAAACTTGGCAATCCAAACTTGGCTGTGTGACATATGGTCATTAAAGAATAGTAAAGAATTAAGCAATAAGCCATTAGAGGTCATGCATTATGGGGATTTTTATCATAGATAAGAGGTGTTCCCATTTGCACAAGTGGAGTACCTCAGTCCGTAATTGTAGAAATAAAGAATGCACCTATAAGGTAGAGGCACATAATAAAATAACCAGTGAGCATAGATACAAGGTAGATGTACATAAAGTGTATTTGCCAGTCCTGAAGGGCCACAGGCCTGCTTAGTTCAGTGTTTGCATGACCAAAAGTAGTCCTCTGTGTTCGATTGCATGGAAGAGCATCTTTCTGTTGATTTGCCATTTACCACTCTCCGCACTACTGATGGGAACTTGAGCTAAGATAACTTTAGCCACAGTCTCAGTCTAGACCCTGTCTGGACATATGACATGCTCACATACTTTTCTTTCTAAAAGCTATTCTGACATTCCAGCCATTGGATAGTTGACTGTTGCTTGCAAGTGCATATGCATTCATATTTCCTGTGTGGCCACTGGGGCACTTTGTTTTGCCACTTGTTTCCTCTTATTGGTCTCAGTGTCTTAGCCACATTTTGGGGTGTTGGGTGGTGGGGTATTAGAGCTTACAACTGTTTATTTTAACATGAAGCAAATAACTTCATCTGCCTCTGTCTGATGAGTGAAATATGTATTACTTTTTACTGAGCTATTTACACACAATAACTACTTTATATGGACATATCTATAGATGTGTACAGGTAGTTTTGCATCTGTGCACTGTTCATTGGATCTTTGGCTTGTTATCCGATTGTAGTGAGATTATCTATGTGTGTTCCTGCTTACATACAGAAAATAACCTTTAAAGGGAATAAAGATATACCACAAGGACCCAATTGTACCATTTTGAGTACCATGTGTGGGCCATACAACACTGTCCAAAAGTTACTGACCCCCTGATTTCTTCTGTTTTCATGCATTTGTCACAGTTAAGTAAACACAAAATGATCATTTCATTTAGTGAAAGAAAAAAAAAAGTTATGTTATGTAACACCAAGTGATCCTATGTGAAAATGATATTGCCTCCTTAGTTACAGAACCCAAATGTTTACCAAATTTAGTTGATAATAGGAATAAATTAAGTTAGACACACCCAGAAGTGATTCCTGCCATCCTGTTGAACCTAAACTTAAATAGACACTTAAATAGAAACTTTCTAGCAATATAACATCAGGCTCATCAAGCCACACACTATGCCATGATCAAAATAAGTTATTTAAATATATTAATCTGGAAGGGGTTATCAGGCCATTTCTATGTATCTGGGAATCCAAGAACCACAGTGAGACCCCCAAAATGTAGAAAATGTGAAACAGTGATGCATCTTCCCATTTTCAGGAGTTGGGCTCAGCCCCTTAGTTCCAGTGCAAGGAACTCTTAATGCTTCAGCAGACCAAGAGATTTTGGACAATTTCATGCTCCCAACTTTGTGGGAACAGTTTGGGGAACATGACTGCGCACCAATGCACAAAGCAAGGTCCATAAAGACATGGAGGAGCGAGTTTGGTGTGGAAGAACTAGACTGGCCTGCACAGAGTCCTGACCTCAACCCGACAGAACACCTTTGGGGTGAATTAGAGCGGAGACTCTGAGCCAGGCCTTCTCGTCCAACATCAGTGTCTGACCTCACAAATGCGCTTCTGGAAGAATGGTCAAAAATTCCCATAAACACACTCCTAAACCTTGTGGAAAGCCTTCCCAGAAGAGTTGAAGCTGTTATAGCTGCAAAGGGTGGGCCGACATCATATTAAACCGTATGGATTAAGAATGGGATGTCACTCAAGTTCATATGCATGTGAAGGCAGACAAGCAAATACTTTTGGCAATATAGTGTATCACATACTATACAGACAAGATATGCAAACAGATTTTTAACAAGTATTTAACTAATGAATAATTAAAATAAAAATACAATAAATCGAATAAAGAATAAGAATAAAAAATAATAAAGAGTCATAGGAGGAGCTGAAGAGATGTGTGAATATTTGTGCATATGCATATAGGAATATCTATACATATGCGCGTCTAAGTAGATATTTGCTATAAAAACTATATACCAAATATTACAGATTATGGATATTTACAAAAAATTAACATCTGTACATTGTGCAAACAATCAAGTTACAGAGGAGTTCAGGTTTAAAGTGTGATGTGTCCACTGTGGTTAATGAGTGCCACAGCTCTGGGAAAGAAGCTGTTAGCATGTCTGGTTTTACTGGTTTTAATGCCCCTGAATCTTCTACTAGATGGAGACTGTGTTCCTCTTCCAAAGGACAAATGCAAAGGACAAATGCCTTTGAAAACTCATTGCTTGTTTTGTTTAGCAGAATTAGTTCTTCCAATTTATTGAATAGAGATCAAAGATTGGAGAGGAAAGATTGTAAAGGTATGCGAAACCCACACCGTCTCAGACTTACGAGGATTTTCATAATCTCTGAAGGTTTTTGCCTAAACTCTGGAATAATATCAGGAGAATTGCTGTCCCTGAAGGTCAGTAACTGTTCCCCGCTTCAAATGATTGAAGTGGCTAGTAAGTGTAATAGTGTACAGAGAAAAAGAGGGGTTTGACTTTAACAAACGACTACATGTGATGATATGCATTGTGTGTTGTAAATGAAAGGTGAACAGCTGACAGGATGCTGCCATATCACTAAATTTAGTGTGGGTGAGTGACAGAGAGAGTAATGAGCTCAGCTAAGCACATTTCCTGTTTGAGGTGCCAGTGTTTAAATGCAGATGTGTTCAGGACTGCTGAACGACTTGCAAACTTTCCTTGTGTGCTGACTGTTTCAGGTAGACTGTAGATTTGAAAGAGTTCTGCAGAGTTCTGTACTGTGGTACTGTAGTACATGTGTGGCTAACAGATTGATCAGTAAAGTGAGTCTAGGAGTGGTCGAACCTGCAGTCATGCTGCTGTTGCATGTAGTGAGGAGGTTCTGTAACACAGGAAGAATGCAGATTTGTTTGTATCTGATGTTTGTGCTCCATGTTGCTGAAGGTGAGTGTGCCTTTATCTCTATTGCAGTAGGAACTCTAACATACAACACAGTACCATTTAAAGTTCATTTTAAAAGCATGCTGTAACTTTATTGATGTACATATGTAACAGGAAATCGACATAAACAAGTATTCTGGCAAGAAATGTAGTTTAATACAAAAACTTTAGCTTTTTAAATACTTTTTGGTCACCAAATTACCACTGCAAGTCTTATTTAACACCAATCCCTCTTCTCCTGGTGGGGCTAAATCTCAAATGGCCTCCTGCTCTCTACATAGTGCTCTATGCAGGAATTTAAATACTGGATCCTGCAGCCCAAATGGTGCAAAATATAGCTAAGAAAGTCATTTGGGACGCAGTCACATTCATACTCAATAAATGATGCACTATTTGGCTGTAGAGGCTGGAATTTCTAAACTTTTATAGCTAGCACACTGTTTAAGGGAGGACAAGCTGTTTGGGATTCAGTCTGGGTTTGACGCTACTTCGTACTGAAACACGGACATTTGAAGCACATAATCCATCCAAGTGATATCTTTTAGACTTTTATACTGCCATTTTACAGTAAGTCACATCATAAGTGCTTTAATTCAAGCCTGTGATATTAATGATGAAGTTGTTTTGGCTCTTTGCTTTTTTAGCCTGTTAGCTAGCTGATGAACCTAGTTCTAGTTAAGAACATAAGTTGCCAGCCCCTCAGTTTAAACAAAAAATGGTTTCTTACTTTATCGGTATACTCGGTGGTCCATGCGAGCAGCATGACAGTCAAAGATCACTCCATTAACTGCACAAGGTTTTTTTTCATGCCATGGTGCAGTAATACACCATTCAGTTGTTGTGAGATAGGAGTGGTATATCATGGATTTTACAAAGGCTTTGAACGTGACTCAGCCAATCAGATTTTAGGACCAGAACTATCCATTTTATGAATGGGATCTTTAATATTGGGATCTTTCCAACATAATTCCACCCCTTCATCACTGTTTACCTGGGTCTTTTTAGCCCTTTTACCTGAGGTACATTATGTCATCATCGCATTCGCCTGTTTTATGTTAGTCCTTTAGTCCTGTGTTTGTACAAATGGCTTTTAGTTTAGACATTGTTAGGTGAAGTCATGCTTACATGTTGTTTTTATCTTGCAGTTCTGAGACCCTCAGAGGTACATCACAGTACCTTTAGTCAGGGAACATAATTGTACAAAAAACCATTGAAATCATATTTTCTAGGATTTTGACTCCACACACCCCGTCCTGTACTTATCTACTGGAAAACACTGATATAAGGTACATTGGACTATTGTGGGTCTATTGGACTAAAAACTGTTATACATTTGAGAGAACAATTGCATTGTTTTTACCTTGATGAAAATGTGTTTCTTTATTTCTAACACTGTATGTGATGTTGTGCACTGTGTGCTACAAGAGAAGAAAGAGGAAGAGCTCACAGGATGCTGAAACATCACTATATTTGGTGTGAGTGACAGACAGAGAGAGAAAGATGAGCTCATCTGAACACAGTTCCGTATTGAGGTGCCAATGTTAGAGTGCGGAAGAGTCCAGTGAAGTCCTGCTGAGAGAGATACAGGATTTGCTCATGTGCTGGTTGTGTCAGGCAGACTGTAGGTCTGAAAAGAGTTGCAGCGTAGTGTAGTGTAAGATATGTGTAGCTGACAGATTGGTCAGTAGAGCAGGTGTAAGGGTGGTCATATCTGCAGTCATGCTGTTGCTGTATGTAGTGAGGAGGTTCTGGAACTCAGGAAGAATGCCGGATTGTTTTTATCTGTTGCTTGTGCTCCATGTTACTGAAGGTGAGTGAACCATTAAATCTTTTTTCAATATAATGCTGCAATCTTACTGAAGACAGTGGAATGTAAGCATATGTATTGGACAGCAATCAAAAGCATTTGAGTTGATTGGTTGGCTTCAACACCACTTCAAAACCACATACATAAGTACTTGTAACTGTATCACCACAGAAATTGAAGTGAGTTTCTCAACAGTACTTATTAACATAAGTAACATTAGATGCTTTATGAGACTGTGCTTAGGCTTTTTAACAATGCCTTTAAAGTAAAATTCTGTATATGGTTGATCAAGCGTTACACAAGTGGTGATAAGCTCATTAACTGGTGTTTTGCAGGCTGCACACTGAAAAACCATGAGCAGTTAGAAAAGATTACTGCATACAGGAGGGTCAGCACTGCTGCCCTGCTACTGCACTGACCCACAAGTCACACCTAAGACATTCATTTGGAAGAAACTTATAACAAACATAGACATATTGAAAGAGATATCCAGTGAGAGTGGTCAGTACAGAAATAGAGTTCAGCTGGTTAATGGTCACTCTCCAGGAAATCTCTCTCTACTCATATCACACCTGACTGAAGAGGACGGAGGAGATTACAGATGTGAAGTTGAAGGTAGCAGGAACAAAGATATCCGACTCTCTATTAAGGGTAAGACTCTGTTGTGATCCACACATATAGTACAGATATCATCTCATACGTAAATACCTGATATAATCAACTTTAAAAATGTTTTAATTATAATTACACATGCATTAGTTCTCTGGCTTTGCAGTAGCACTAGACTGAAGTCTAATGCTTCTAGATTCTTTTGTAATAATGGTGAATTGTTTCAGAAAGTAAGAAAGTTGCTTAGTTACATTAAATGAAACTCCATGCTTGAGATCAAGAGTAATTTATTGCTATGTTTTGCTAAGATATTGCCAAGCTTTATTTAGTGCACCTTCATGCAGTAAATCATGCATGTTTTTTAGTGAATTGGTTCCTGTAGCAGAAGTCAGGTGTGTGGAGACTTAGCAGACAAAAGAAACAACAATCTGGTACCTTATAAACCATTTGGCAATCATTTCTTACTTATTCTTACTTATAAGGCAGCATTCACTGCTTCTGGATGACTCCTCACGTTCATACAATAATCCTCAATTCTGAATGTGTGTCTGCAGGCTGTACTCTGACCAACAATGAAGAACTATTACATTTCACAGCACCTACAGGAGGGTCAGTACTGCTGCCCTGCTCCTGTGCTGAGCTACGTGCCAAACCTGAAACATTAACCTGGAAGAAATACAATCAAAACAGTAAGAAGTGGGACAGCATGCCCATTAAAAGTGATCAGTACACAAACAGAGTTCAGCTGGTTAATGGTCACTCTCCAGGAAATCTCTCTCTACTCATATCACACCTGACTGAAGAGGATGGAGGGGATTACATGTGTGATGCTATGAAAAGTGGACTCACATACATCAAATTCACTGTTAAAGGTAAAACACTAGTCTGTATTCTAAGTGCAAAGTGTGCTGAATCAACTGTATAAGATTATGTTAGTCTTACATTACAAATGCTCCAAGAAGACCTTTAATGAGGGTTCTGTAGTGAGGATGTGGATGTAGTAGTTTTGTTTACATTATTGTGTTTATGTATATTTACAATGTCATATAATGTCTACATTAGGGACAATTATACTGTCACCCAAACTCCACCTTCAAATTCTGTTTGGGATCTTTCGAGCATAACTCCACCCCCTCATCACTGTTCACCTGGGTATCTTTAGCCCTGTTACATTGGGTACCTAGATCTGCCTGATCATTGTGTTTGCGTGCTTCTTGTTAGTCATGTTGTCCTGAGTTTGGTCAAAAGGCTCTTTGTTTATAAGCTGTTTGGTGAAGTCATGTTTATATGTCAAATCTGAGCCCAGATGGTCTGTTTTGCTTGGTCTTCATCCACCTTCAGTGTTGCAGCTTCAGAAGGGGTGAGCACAGTCAGAGTTACAGCTTCCTTATCAAGATAGTGACAGGCCATTCTTAATTACAGAATCAAACACTATGAATAGCAGATAATGTATAATCTAAAAGACATTATCTCTCTAATAAAGGTGATTTTAATTGTAATATTGCATTAACATTTTAGTAACACTTTTCAAGAAAATTTTATGTGTACGAATCTATGAACATAAAATGTTACAATACATTAATAAGGCATTATAAACATGGCTTCATATGTATTGTTTATAAAATGTTACATTGTCATTGCAAAAGAAACCCATTACCATCATACATAGTGCATTATAACTCACAAATCTGCCTTGTCATAAACAGACACTGAGCCATGCTTTGAATTAACAGTTTATGAATTATGCTAACCTGGAACTGAATAATTATTCATAATACATTAATGCACTGAAACATGTCTTTGCATGAAATGTGGAATTTATATACTTCTCATGAAAAGTATAGATCATTAATAGTAGATAAGAGCTCTATGTACAGTGAGTATTTTACACTACAATAAAATTAATTAAAACCACAGCAATTTTAATGTACCAAAGTAAACTAGTACTAAAACTAAAACCTTTTAGTTTCACATCATAGCAGTTCAGCTACCCACCAAGCCTTGGAGAGGCAGCTAGTCTATACAACTCTCATCATGAATATCAACAAAATCTTCTCTTTTCCAGAGGCTCCTGCACCAAAACCTACTCCAACACTTGACAGGAACATTCATCTAAAAACTTCAGCTGAACGATATGGAGATATGGGTTAGGTCTCAGTTTCAGAAAAATCAGACTGTTAAAATGACTAAATTGAATATTAGGTCACAGTTTATTTTGACAGACTTCTATATTTGATCTGTAGAAAATTTGAACATTGCTAACAAACTTCCTGGTGATATTCATTTGGTTTTCCATAACATTGTGTGTGACGCACTCCTCTGGCTCTGAGACACACTTGGACTCCATCTCCCATCCTCTGGGAGATAAATTGACTCCAGTGCCTCCTGACCTTCCCTCATGCTCCAATCCATACTATGGAAAAATTGTGCAGTACCGGAATACTAATTCTATTCAGCTGTCTTATGTGTCATGTGATCTTTCTAGTTTAGTTTATAAGCCCAGGCTTTAGCACAGATTATTTGCGAGGTATTGCATCACTATTGATCTACTGGCCGTTCTATTGTTTGTCCTGTTTATCACCGTTTTTTCCTGTAATTTTGACTCTGCCTTTTTGCCTAAACCTTTAGGATTGTTTGCTGGTTGTTGTGTTTTTGTACTGGCTGTATTTTCTGGATTCGACCCGCACTTGTTTTGTGACCACGAACCTGGATTGCAATTCCAACAGTAAAGCCTCTTTTGTTCTTTTTAACTGCGAGCATCTGACTCTTTCTGGCACGTTACATTATGGTTCATGGTTAGGTTTAGGTTTAGGAGTAGGTGAAGGTGTTGCATGTAATAAATATTCAGTTGAGGGTTACTTAAAGGAAGACTGAGCGTCTCCTCACAGTGGACCATCAAAATAAAGTACTATCAATTTTAATTTTCAGAAAAATGTTCTACTCTCTTATATTGTTCTTTTTGCTCTGACATTTTAGGGACTACTCCCGTGAAAGATGGCGATGGTGATGCAGAATCTCCACAGTCTCTGCCCTTCGTCCCTTTTGCCTTGGTCACTGTGATTTTTCTCCACATTATAGTAGCTGTGGTTTATCACACCAAGAGAACCTTCAGTGTTGCAGCTTCAGAAGGGGTGAGCACAGTCAGAGTTACAGCTTCCTTATCAAGATAGTGACAGGCCATTCTTAATTACAGAATCAAACACTATGAATAGCAGATAATGTATAATCTAAAAGACATTATCTCTCTAATAAAGGTGATTTTAATTGTAATATTGCATTAACATTTTAGTAACACTTTTCAAGAAAATTTTATGTGTACGAATCTATGAACATAAAATGTTACAATACATTAATAAGGCATTATAAACATGGCTTCATATGTATTGTTTATAAAATGTTACATTGTCATTGCAAAAGAAACCCATTACCATGGGTACATTTTAGGGACTACTCCTGTGAAAGATGGCGATGGTGATGCAGAATCTCCACAGTCTCTGCCCTTCGTCCCTTTTGCCTTGGTCACTGTGATCTTTCTCCACATTATAGTAGCTGTGGTTTATCACACCAAGAGAAACAAAGGTACAAACTACACAATCAAGCCACTGTAGTCTTGCTACTGTTCTTGTATTCATAATTGTGCATAAAATGAAAGATTGTTTATCTTAACCAGTTAAGTGCTAGATGCTGCAATAATTTACTACAGCAGTGATGAAGACAGAGTGGTGAGTCTGTAGCAGAGAATAAAAATCAACAGATATCAACAGACCAGCAACTGGCTTTCACACCAGATCAACTTTTCAGCTACTGACAAAAACACCTGAAAAATGATTAGCTTCTGATCTACAAATTTGAAAAGAAGACCAGCTACTGTAGAAGACATCCAAACAACAGATCAATTACAGACCAGCATACCTGATTCAGAGGAATAAAGTGTTGGGGTTTTTATTTATGCCACTTGGCTGACCTTCAGAACAGGATTTGAATATGTGCCAAAATTGTTTTCCTCAGTAAATAGAGTCTTTAAAAATGTTGGCACTTTTTAACAGGGGGTGGATCTTAGAAGAGAGTGCTTAGCTACACTCTGCAGTGGTCAACTGATTTGGAGTGACAGGTCTTCTGAACCTGTAACCACTCAGAGAGAACCACCCCCAGCATGACAGAACACATCCACTAGGATATCTGACATCTGGGAGAAACTTAACACAAAAAACATAGACATATTGGAAGAGATGTCCAGTGAGAGTGGTCAGTACAGAAACAGAGTTCAGCTGGTTAATGGTCACTCTCCAGGAAATCTCTTTCTACTCATATCACACCTGACTGAAGAGGATGGAGGAGATTACAGATGTACAGTTGAAAGTAGCAGCATCAAGGATATCAAACTCGCTGTTAAAGGTAAAACTCTGTTTTGAACCACACACATAGTGCGGAGATTATCTCATAACCAGAAACCTGATATAATCAGCTTTAAAGTGTTGTTATTTAAAGACAAAAGCATTAGTTCTCTGGCTTTGCAGTATCCCTAGGATGAACACTAATGCTTCTAGATTGTTTCATAATGCTGGTGAATTGTTTAAATGTGTTTAAATATATTGCTATATATTGCAGTAGTCAGGTATTTGGAAACATTTAGCTAAAGAAAGACAATTCCACAACCTGGTATCTTATCATGAACCATTTGGTCAGTTTCTTACTTACCATTCTTACTTATAAGGTAACATATAGTGCTTCTGGATGAGTCGTCACATGCATACAATAATCCTCAGTCCTGAATGTGTTTCTGCAGGCTGCACTCTGACAAACTATCAAAAAACATTAGAAATCACAGCACATACAGGAGGGTCAGTACTGCTGCCCTGCTCCTGCACTGAGCTACATCTCAAACCTGAGACATTCACCTGGAAGAAAAACATCAATAATATTTATCAGAGAATACACATTAAAAGTGATCAGTACAGAAACAGAGTTCAGCTGGTTAATGATGACTATCCAGGAAATCTCTCTCTACTCATATCACACCTGACTGAAGAGGGTGGAGGAGATTACAGGTGTGATGCTATGAAAAGTGGATCCACAAACATCAGACTCACTGTTGGAGGTACAACACTGATTTGTATTCTGAGTGCAAAGTGAGCTGAATCAACTCTATAAGATTTTCTTAGCCTTACATTACAAAGGTTTGAAGAAGACCTTTAATGAAGGTTCTGTAGGGAGGATGTGGAAGCATTGGTTTTGTTTACATTATTATTACAGTATATGTATATTTACATTGTCCTATAATGCCTACATTAGGGACAATTATACTGTCACACAATCCGCATGTTGGGATTCTGATTTGTGTCTGAAAAATTCTCCCTTCTAGCTTCTCTGCCATCTTTCAAGGACATATTTTCCTTTGGAAATCAAGGCCACATTTTGTTAGGCTGGATAAGCTTAGTTCCTCTGTGAAAAGCAGTATGAAAATGGGGGTCATTATATCCAGTTAAAACAAGAAAACAAGAGAATAATTCAAAATATTCCTATGGTGTCACACAATCACAGCCACCATTTTGGTGGGCAACTTCAAATCACTTGGCTGTGAAGTGGTGATTTTTTTTTTATGAAATAACAAAGACATAACCAATCCAGCAAATGCAATAAAACTTTTTGATGTATATTAACCAATATTTTGAGATATTGAGATGAATGTCTTGATTTTATTAAATTTGTTGCTGTATTGTTAACAAATGACAGCTAACATCCAACCAGCTGAGATTTCCTGCCATGTTGCAAATGTCATGCCACAAATCACACACTACCACACTAAATAACATGCAAAAGTAGTACAGTACCATTAGAATTGCAGTCATTAGTGTAGTAGGTAAAGTAGAGAAGTATGAGGTTTGGAATGATGACTGATTATAGCTGTTGTGCAGCTCATTAGCAGGCATGCAAAATTTCCAAGTAAAAGTTTAAGATATTTCTTGATTAAAGATGCACTTATTGATGTAAATTAATGTTGGTAACTAATTTTTGTTAAATTAATTGAGGTAAGTTGATTTTAGCTTTGTATTCACCAGCTTCAGTTTTTTATGGATCCAGTCTACCTATCTAGCTAATCTTCACCTCGTAGCATTTTCTGGAGAATGCATCTAAAGTGTCCACATGTCTTTTAATTTTTTTCGTCGTCATTTTAGTTTATTTTACTTGATCGTCGTCCAACTTCAGTGTTGTAGCTGCAGAAAGGGTGATGAGATGAGCTCTATCAGAGCACAGTCAGAGTTACAACTTGCCTAGCAAGATAACGACAGTGAAATAATTCAATATTATGAATAACAGCTAATGGAAAACTCATTTTATTTCTCTAATTAATAATGATATTTCAGGAAAGATTTCTATGAATATCCTTTCTAGAAGAATCTATGAATATAAGAGTTTATAATTCATTTACAAGACATTATAAACATGGCTTCATATATAGTGTTTATACATACCCAGTTCAAGCTCGTATAGCACATTATTACTAACATTTATATTTACATTTACATTTACAGCATTTAGCAGACGCTCTTATCCAGAGCGACTTACAAAAAGTGCTTTGTCTATCCAGAGAAACTATCTTCACTAGTTACCAATAGGTTAGAGAGAAAGTCAGTCCTGAGCTCAGATACTGTTAGAATCAGAAAGTCATTATTGACAGAGAAAAAGGAACAGAGTTAAACACAGAGCAGTGCAATACAATAGAATACATAAGTGCAGAACAATACATTACAATCAATACTTAACTCAGTGCTCATTTAAGTGCTGTATAAAGAGACGAGTCTTCAGTCTGCGTTTGAAGACAGCGAGAGACTCTGCTGTACAGACAGCCGGTGGGAGTTCGTTCCACCACCTGGGTGCCAGCACAGAGAACAGTCTTGATGCTTGCCTTCTGCGTGCCTTGAAAGATGACGGGTCAAGCCTAGCTGTGCTCGTAGCTCGAAGGGCTCATGGTACAGTTCGAGATTTCACCATTGCCATCAAGTAGGGAGGGGCTGGTCTATTTTTGGCTTTGTAGGCAAGCATAAGGGTTTTAAATCTGATGCGTGCAGCTACAGGAAGCCAGTGAAGGCAGCGCAGCAGTGGGGTGACGTGGCTGAACTTGGGGAGATTGAAGACGAGTAGTGCTGCTGCATTCTGGATGAGTTGCAGAGGCCTGATGGCCGCATAGGAAGACCAGCCAAGAGCGAGTTGCAGTAGTCAAGCCTTGAGATGACAAGAGACTGCACTAGCACCTGGGTGGCCTCTCGAGTGAGAAAGCGTCGGATCCTCCGGATGTTGAACAAGAGAAATCGGTAAAACTTTCTTTGAAGGGTGTCTACATAACACATTCATATCACCTTACATAAACACTTCATAACATGTTCATGAATGCTTAAATCAACATTCATAAACTATACATGTTTTACATGATATTAATATGGACTACTATGCCATTTTAACGAAAGATATTTTTCAAAATAAAAGTCCTCATTTTATTTATTATTTTCAGTGAAACTCCTCTTTTCTGGACTGACAGCATAAAATGACTTGGCTTTATCCCTTTGGACAGAAAGTGTTTTGACACTTTTTGCCTAGACTTTCAACTTTTTTTTCATTTTTTTTCTCAAGCATTTGCATTTTGCAATATGCTATTCTTTCTGCTTTTTACACTAATTATTCATATAAGTTTAACTTTCTTGGGGTAAATGCTAACACTGTTATCCCAATTACTTTGGAGGTTTTATTTTTAGTGACGTTCTTCCTCACTTACGGTTTTGGAGAAGGCACAAGTATAACTGTGCATTAGTTATCCTGTGTAACTGAGGTTAAATGTGACAAGCACTGTTATCACAAGGAATGATTCCTTTTTTGGCATTACTTCAAAGTACAATCGAGTGGTGGCTCTTTGACTTTCCTCACTCAGGGTGCTGATAATTTTGTAAGAAATGTCCTTTATAAATTTGGCTTGCTTTGTCTTCACCATAAGGAAGTCACTTTATCCTCACTAAAGTGCATGTTACACGAATGGATGGATCTTGAATGGAATGGATAAGTATTATGGACCTGTCCCACCACCACACAAAGTTTGAGATTTTAAGATGATTGACTGTTCATAGCATATTTATGAGTAATTCACTGTCTATATAGTAAAGTGACATGCAAAGCAACACTCATAAGTGATTCATAGCATTTTTAAGAGATGTTTACAGACCATGTGTATAAATAGTGACAGTGATTTACAATTAAATATCTACAATTATTTTCCCTACCTTTGCAGCAAGACCCAATGACTGTGAAAAGGAGTCAATAAACACCACAAGTAGAAAGGTCTTTTTTATTGGCAAGACCACTGTTCAGAACAGGCACTTAAACATGCTGCTCAAACTCAAATCAGGAAACTACAAACTCTTCTGAACATGGAACTGCAAAATACAGACGTGTTCAATAAAATCTTCAACTTTTTTCTAAAACGAAAAATAAAAACGCACAACCTCATGTGGCCATTACTGAAGGGGTATTGCCTTCACTTTGCAGTCAGACGTGTGGAACTCTACATGTACAGGATGAGCCTATTTATACTGGAAGCGCTTAAACGTTAGGTTATGTTAGTGGGCTAGACAGACTGTCACAGCAGAGGTATGATACATAACTAGCAGTACAGCAGTTAAATTTGCTACTTTGCTTATGATCAGTAACTGTAGCCAAGAAACTTTGCTAACTAGCTAGCAGGCTAACGCTACCTTACATTAGCTATTAAAAAGCATCAAGCTAATGTTAACGTCACCTAATTAGCTAAATTACATGATTCGGTTAAGCCCCAAAGATTAATAGACCTTATGCGGGTCTTGTTAACAACATTCTTTTTTTCGAACTTAAAATAACTGATACTGATTTAACTTAGCTTACTGTTTTGTGACTGTGCCAGTCAAGTTGAAGTAGTTAGTGGGCCTAAACGAGCATTACTTATGACGCACAGCAGTGCAATGCAGAGTCATACGTTAAACAAGCTAGTACCAAATGCAAGGTCCACTTAAAACACTCGTTAACGTTTGGCTAGTGACGTGGTCTATACCAGGAGTTGGCAAAGTGTCAACAAAAATCATTTTACTATCCTGGCTGTAATATGTCTCAGTATGTGCTAATGTGTTAGTATAGGCTAAAAGTATATAAACGAAAGACTTACTTTGCTCTGCTTTAACCTTCAGCTCAGCTATAGCCGCATGTCTCGCATCTCCACCGCCAAACTTTCCTCAAAAGTAAAATAATCTTGTAAAAAAGTGAAATAATTCTTGTAAAATGTCTCTCAAAGTTTGTTTTTACCAGGCTGAAGTTGCTTCTCTTTTGCCAACTTCTTGTTCGAATTTACCCGTTCCACCTTAAATGGTGCCTGAGGTGCCAGAATGTAACTGCTGCAGCATTTAAGGTGGAACGGGTAAATTCGAATAACAAGCTGGCGAACGAGAAGCTGATTTCAGCCTCACGACTTTTCAGTATTTGATAGTTTCTCGTTACAGATTAAATATATCGGGAAACCAAGTGGAGTGATAATGAATTCATATAAGTCCATTTGTATCCAAATTACCGATGTTTGTCTTAAATTTTTCCCTTCGCTTTTTTGTTAGCTAACTTGCTAGACAGCTGGGCAAGACTGTTGACTGTCCTGCTGTGACCAGAAGTCTGCACACCTGCAGGGTTAAAGAGTGAATTAGCAGATATAGGCTATATTAACTCCATATATATTAACTCCAGAATGTTGTTTTGCATGTCACTTTACTATATGGACAGTGAATTACTCATAAATAGGCTATGAACAGTCAATCAACTTAAAGTCTCAAACTTTGTGTGGTGGTGGGACAAGTCCATAATACTTATCCATTCCATTCAAGATCCATCCATTCGTGTAACATGCACTTTAGTGAGGATAACGTGACTTCCATCACTTTTATGGTGAAGACAAATCAAGGCAAATTTATAAAGGACATTTCTTACTAATTTATCAGCACCCTGAGTGAGGAAAGTCAAAGAGCCACCACTCGATTGTACTTTGAAGTAATGCCAAAAAAGGAATCATTCCTTGTGATAACAGTGCTTGTCACA